ATACTATAATAAATACAAAGCATTTTTCCACCAAAATTTTTTTGGATTAATTTTGATCTTTGACACTTGAACTATACTTCTAGCCTACCACAATGGTACAGAAGGCTCGGTGGTATTGCTTTTAGGTAGCTAGTTTGGTTTGATGTTTCAATGACTTTTGGAACTATGGACACCGTGAGAATTGGATGAAAGCTACAGACTGTCTCCCTAGTAGAGAGCACTGGAGTAACTTGCACACAATATTGAAAGGGTTTATGGGCATTCAGTGATCACCTCTGAGTAAGAATTTAAGGGCCTCAGGCACCTGGGTTCAGCTCTTAATACCCACATCGCAGCCAATAACCATCTGTAACTCCAGTTCCAAGGGATCTGATGCCCTTTTCACTCCTCCATCGGCATTACATGACAGATACACTCACACACATGCAAACAAAACACACATATAAAATAAATATAAATAAATCAAAAAAAGAAAACTTTTGAGGTTGGAAAGCTGGCTCAGCAGTTAAGAACAATGGCTGTTCTTCCAGTAGACCTGAGTTCGTTCCTAGCACCGATATGGCAGCCAACAACAGTCTGTAACTCCAGTTCTAGGGGATCTGACGCTCTCTTCTGGCCTCCATGGACACTGCATGCACATGGTGCATTTATATACATGCAGGTAAAATACTTATACACGTGAAATTAAAAAACAAAAGGGCTGCAGGTAACTCCCAGTAGTTGAAAAGAACACTCCCAGTAGTTGAAAAGGTCTAGAGGAAGTCCTATAAGTTTAAAACTTAGCAATACTGATATTTGTAGGTGCTATATGAGAGCTTGTCAATTTTGGCTCTACTGATTTTTTTTTTTTTAAAAGATTGTTCCATAGCTAAGACTGGTCTAGAACTTGCCAGAATCATCCTGTCCCAGACTCTAGAGTGCTGGAATTACAAGTGTGTGCCACCATGGCTGGCCTACTGCTACTTTAAAACTTTAAAAAAATTATTTATTATTTTTATTTTATATGTATGTGCGTATTATCTGCATGTGTGTAAATGCACCCGTGTCATGCAATGCCTGAGGAGGTCAGAAGAAGGTGTCAGATCCGATCCCCTGGAACTGGAGTTATGGATGGTTTTTAGCTGCCATGTGAGTGCTGGGAATTGAACCCAGGTCCTCTGCAGGAGCCTCCCTATTGCTATTTTAGATCACATAATTCTTGAATGTGAAGGGCTATCTTATGCACATTTAGTAGTATCTCTGGTAATGCTGGTAGCCACAGTTTAGACAAAAAAAATTATTTCCACACATCGCTAATGTTACATAGTAGCACAAAATCACCCCAAGTTGAGAACCATTGTTCTGGACAAATATTAGAGAGGCCCTTTCTGAAAAGAGACCATGTAATTATTTGTATTATACAAGTGATATGCCATTTTATGTGGCACTTAATTATAGTCTTTCTGCTTTCTACATCTCACCTGCATATGACTTTTCTATACACTAA